TTGCGTGATTGTGCCCAGTTGCCTGGCGAAAGTTTCACGTCTCACATTGAGGACGTCGTAGGCCTCTGCCGGTGCTTTAATCCGGCCATGTCCGATGCAAACAAAGTCAAGCATATCATGAAGGGCATCGAGGACAATACGTTCCACATGCTTGTGGCGTAATCTCCTCGAACCGTCACAGACATCAATCAGCACTGCCAGAGCTACGACGACTTGCGAAAGCAGCGCATTTCCACGCGACGTCACAGTTTTGACACGACCAGCACGTCAGCACTGACCATTGGCGCGATCTCCCAAGGTCCGGTAGTATTGACGCACCAAATACAACAGTTCATCCGCGAGGAGGTTGCCCGTCAATTGTCTATTGCTCACTTTCACCCTAGTAATAGTCGTGGACTCCCCTCGTCATTGTGCCAAACCATTGAGGAGCAAGTATCCGAAGCTCTTCCGCCTACGCGCCAACCACCATCTGTATCAGTGCCGTTGACCTATGCCGACGTCGCGAGAAAGCCTTCACAAGCAGTGCCATTCAGCAGAGGCCCTCCTTAACGCCCTCATGTCTTCTACGCACCGCAGGCACCGACAAGCCCGCAAGTTCTGCTTTATCGACGTCCTGGCACCCGTCCCAATAATCCTTAGCGCACACTGGACAACCGACCAACATGCTGTTACTGTGGTCCACCCGAGCATGTCGAGAGTTTCCACTGCTGCAGCGTTCATTGTCCAACTGCCGTTGAAGCCAATTACAGCTACGACCATACAGAGCCGCAACTGCCAATACCCTCCCACACTCCTTCAAACACCTCATCGTCGAACCACCGCACCTCCAACTCGTCTCGATCACCCTCCCCGCGCCGGCGCTCGCTGTCGCCAATGGTTCGACGCACCGCACCCGTCCACGCGGAAAACTGACCACCGCAGTGGCCGATTCAAGAACTGTGCCACTGTCGATATGTACAAGGCCTCGTTCCTAATCTGCCAACGAAATCCCAATCTTCACTGAAGGTGTTGCCATGTCCGCCTTAGTCGATACTGGAGCTGCTGTGTAAGTGTTGAGCGAAGCAATGTGTCGCAAGTTGAAAAAGATTACGACTCCACTTTCTGGTGTTTCTCTCCGTACGGCGGCCACACACATACAACCTTCCGTCACGTGCACAGCTTGTCTACTCATTCAGGACGTTTTGTATGTGGTTGAATTGATCGCCTTTCAGCACTGCTTGCACGACGTTTTATTGGGTTGGGACTTTCTTTCCAAGCATCATGCCGTTGTCGATTGTGCCCGCGCTGAGCTTGAATTATCAGCAATCTCGGATATCGCTCCTGCCAAGTCATTTTTTTGCTCGTGTCGTTATCGCTGAGGACACAGACATCCCACCTATGTCGTCTGCTATTGTGCCAATCTCCTGTGACTATGCTTTCTCTACCGCCTTGTTTACGCCGTCAGCCAAATTCACTTCCCGTAAGCACTTTCTTCTCCCATTTGCTCTTATCACGATCGAAAACTCCTCCGCAACCATTTATGTTACGAACCTGCTTTCGGTCCCAACCACTATGTTCCACGGAGATTGTATAGGGCAACTTGAGGACATTGATTCAGTCTGCCCTAACTCGTTACCTGGTCGTACAGCTGGCCTCCATGTCACGAGCGTTAATCTCGATACCACGACCAACGCATCTACCTCAGATGCCTTTCTTTCATCCAATGCTTCGGACCTTCCCAGCGTTCAGCGGATGCAACTCTTGAAGCTTCTCGGCCGCTTTCGGATGTATTTCGATTACACGCAACCCAGTTTGGGCAGAACAACTTTGATCGCTTATCATATAGACACCGTCAGCCATGCACCCCTGCGCCAGCGTCCATACCACGTCTCTCAAGCTGAACGTCGGATTATTGAAGACCAAGTGACTGACATGCTTAGCCGGGGAACCATACAGACGTCCCACAGTCCCTGGGCATCCCCGGTGGTTCTCTGAAAAAGAAGGACGGTAGCATCCGTTTCTTTCTTGAATATAGGTGCCTTAACAAGATCATGCGCAAACATGTATATCCACTCCCCAGAATTGATGACGCACTTGACTGTTTGCAAGAAGTGGAGTTTTCTTCGCTGGATCTTCGGTCTGGGTACTGGAAGGTACCAATGGATGAAGCCGACCGCCCCTAAACTGCGTTCGTAACTCTTGACGGCTTGTGCGAGTTCAACGTGATGCCGTTCAGCCTTTCAATGCCCCGACCACATTTGAGCGTTTTATGGACAACATACGTTGAGGTCTCAAGTGGCATACATGCCTTTGCTATCAGGACGACGTCATGGTTTTTTCAAAAGACTTCGATACCCATCTTCAGCACCTCGCAAGTGTCCTGGAATGCCTCACGCAGGCTGGGCTACAACTAAATTTGAAGAAATGTCACTTCGCCGCACAGAAGCTCGCAATCTTACGGCACGTTGTCAGCAAGGACGGCGCTCTACCAGACCCTGACAAGCTCCGCACCGTCACCGAGTTTCCTAAGCCGTCGACACTCAAAAAACTCCGGAGCTTTATAGGGCTATGCTCGTATTTTCGACGATTTATTCGTAGTTTCGCACCTATAATGATCCCTTTAACACGTCTACTTGCTGACAGCCAAGGTATGACAGCAGGGTCGTCCACCTGTGACGACGCATTTGTGAAACTACGTCATCTTCTGACATCGCTGCTGATTCCTTCTGCAGCGGAAGTCTGGCTTCGATGAGTACGTCGTTTTATACGCGAGTCGCACTCTGACCAAAGCGGAAGAAAATTATTCGGTCACAGAGAAAGAATGTCTAGCCATCGTTTGGGCAATCGCTAAATTTAGACCTTACATATATGGGCGGACATTTGATGTCGTGACTGAACATCATGCCCTCTGCTGGTTGTCGTTTCTGAAAGACCCACCTGATCGCCTAGCCCGTTGGGCATTACGACTCCAAGACTACAACATCCGCGTCGTCTACAGGTCAGGGCGCAGATATTCAGACGCCGACGCTCTCTCTCGATCTCCACTTCCCCATGACTGTGCAAATGCGCCTGTTTCTACCTACAATTCTGCCTCTCTCACACACGCTGACATGCCAAACGAGCAGCGTCAAGACGCTTGGATATTACCTCTAAAGAAGTTTCTATCAAAGCCATCACTGAGTACCACCAGTCACTCGCTGCGGCGCACAGCTCGCCATTTCATCATGCGTGATGGGCTACTTTACCGCTGCAATTACCTCAGTGAAAGTCGCAGGTGGTTGGTGATTTCTCGCCATCTACGTACTGATATTTGCACCTCGTTCCATGCGGACCCCCAATGCGGCCACGCTGGTGTAATAAAGACGTATGCACGCCTCCGGCTGCTGTAATACTGGCATGGAATGTACCGATTTGTCCGCCAACACGTGCGTTCATGCTCAAAATGTCAACGCCGGAAGAGTTCACTACATGTCGTCACTGGACCGCTCCAGCCGTTGCCCTGCCCATCCCGACGTTTTAATCGCATAGGAATTGACTTATACGGCCCACTTCCATACACACCTGACGGGAATCACTGGGTGGTTGTCGCTATTGATCATTTGACACGGTATGCTGAGACTGCCGCGCTGTCAGAGGCTAAATCACGTGAAGTCGGCTTATTTATTCTTCACAAACTTGTTCTTCGCCACGGCGCTCCTCGCGTGTTACTCAGCGACAGTGGATGCACGTGCCTCTCAGAAGCCTACAAGACCTCCTGAATGAATGCAATGTTGTTCATCGAACGACCAGTGCGTACCATCCCCAAACCAATGGCATGACTGAACGCTGCAATTGCACATTAGGTGACATGCTGTCCATGTATGTATATGCTGTTCAAACCAACTGGGACCACATACTACCATTTGTCATCTATGCGTAGAACCGCGCCACTCAGTCCACGACTGGATTTTTTCCCTTCTTTCTTCTATATGGCCGTGAACCCTCCTTATTTATGAATACTATTTTGTTGTATCGCCCGGATACTTCATAGTCTGCAACTCTTTCAGAAGTCACCACCTATGCAGAAGAATGCAGGCAGCTAGCACGTTGGTTAACTACACAAGATCAAGCACACCACAAGGACCGCCATGACGCCAGCCTGCATCCCCAGTCGTACTCGCCTGGAACATTGGTGTGGCTTTGTGTTGCCTCCTCAGCTCCAGGCCTTTCTTCAAAGCTGCTGCCTAAGGATGAAGGCCCCTACCGCATCCTGGGTCAAGTATCCCCACTAAACTATATTGTCAAGCCCGTACAGTTGTCCACACGCTGCCACTGTCGCGGCCGTGAGACTGTCCACGTCGACCGACTGAAGCGGCACTATGACCCACCAGTTGTACCTGTGCCTTAGTTCGCCAGGATGGCTTCTTTTACGCGGGGGAGTGATTTGTAGAATGGATAGCGTGCATTTAGCAGTGCCTGCAAAAGATGAAAAAGAGGGCCGTGGTTCGTGCTCGTGACAGCTCCGATTTGGATCACTGGCGCTTGACCTGTGTTAGTTCTTACTAAACGCGTCGCGGACTCAACGCTTAACGCGTACTATCAACAGAAACACCAACACGCAATAGAAGCTGTTTCATTTTTCTTCTGAAATGCGCAAACTAAAAAAGTGGAAATAGCTAAACAAGGCTGTTTCGTCTCACACACATTCAGATTTCCTTTGAAACATTAATAACAAACTACTCATTATTTTTAATTATTAGGATAATGAAGAAACTTGCAGTATGTATGCGTTAACAGACAAAAAGGGGCTCCCGAATATAAGTTTACCACACAAGTATTTACTTTCCCAAAGCGATTGTAAGTGTGAACACAGCTAGCGCACTTCCGAACGCGGGCGAAAGGCGGCGAATACCGCGTCATCTGGGGCGGCGCGACACCAAGGCTTCGGATAGTCGCCGCACCCTCGTGGTTTACCGCAATATCTTCGGTGAATCCGGACACGTCGTTTTTATTAGCAGTAGTGTTGTACTCATCCCCACATGGGCGAGTGGGCCACTCCCGGAGATAGTGCAATACCGGGCGAACCCGTGGCGGAGTTGAAGAGAGCTTCAAGTACTGCTTCGCATTTCAAAAATAAGTTTATTATCTTGAATACAAAAAGAATCCGTATCACTTATTAAGCTAATAAGAACAGGGAGTGGTTATCAAAAAAGGCAATACATAGATGGAATGGTAGCCTTGGCCTTGCTGACCCGACCAAAGGCCGCCCGGACCTTCCGGGACAAAAAGGGCCTGGCCCCAACGTTGCAGCACCCTACCGGCGGCACGAGCGTCCACCCTTCAGTGCCTAAGAACTTGGTCAATCGCCATGACGTAGAGCCACAGAGGAGCTGCCTTGGCAGAGGCAGGAAGAACAGGGGCTGTGCAGCACGTCCACCCAGAGTCCGGGAACCATGAGCTTAGTCGGAAATGTCCTCTTGGGTGACAAACCGCCACCTAAGCAAGCGGCCCCTGAACACATAGATCAATACAGTGGTGAAGTGGAACGAACCTTTAACCTACCACGGGGCGTCACTCCCCCGCTGCCGCACCTCAAAGTGAGACTGCCCAGGAAATCCCAAAGGCACAGACCATCGCGGGTCCAAAGACACCAGACAGCCCAGCTGAATAGGCCAGGCGTTCAGGTGTGGAACAGCATCGAGCCATAGAAGCAGGACCTAACCTCAGGACAGGGGAATAACTCGTAAATTGCAGTGCAACTGATCAGTTAGCTCCCTAAGGAGCGCGTCTTGGACGCAGCGCAAGTGCCAGAAGGAAGCAGAAAAAGAGAAGAGAGTGGAAAAGGAAAAGAAAAGTGAAAAAAAGTGGTTCCCCCTCAAGAGGAGGGGGCATCAAAGCCCGGTCCCAGGGCGAAGCGCTTGTAATCACCAGGGGTACACACTTTGATATTAGCCACAAGAAGTCCGAGAAGCGATCTTAGCCAAAATGACGAGAAGCGACTTTGATCTTAGCCAAAAGGCCAAGTTCGAGCCCGTCAAGAGGCGGTAGAAAGCGGTCGTCAAGTGGTAGCGGAAATCAGTGGACAAGTACTCGCCTGCGCTTTTCGTCGAATGCCGTTGAGTAAGGTGCGAGTAACCTCGTGACAGACCGTCTTCAGGAGACGCGTGGTTGCACAAATGCAACCGTGCGGCAACGTGTCACCATATTCAGGGATTATATTTCCACACTACGTCATCTCTGATCCACTGCTTCGTCACTGCGCTCGATTGTATTTGTTGTTATTGTTAACCTTTACTTGTGGCTCACAACTATTTCGGGTGATTGGCCGCTTTGTTGTTCTGCTTTTTCACCTTCTACATTTTTGGCTTTGTGAAGCTGTGAGGAGGAACCAGAGGGTACAGAAGCAAAGCACAACAAAGCACGCCCGGGTCGTTATCTCACACGTCCTGGTTTCAACTGCGCTTCAGGTACGTGTGTCATGCGTCCGTATGTATAGTGCACAGTTCCTTGCTACTTCCAGCATTTGGCCGTTCCATTCAGTTGAGCATGCGAGGACGCTCGTTGTGTAACAAGCGTGTTCTTCAGAGGAGTTTCAGCAAGAAACTCGCCAGGGAAAGCAAGACAGCTGCAGCACAGAAAACAGGAGGCCGAGAGCGCGACAAACGAACTTCGCCGTCTTTTCTCTTCCTGGCACAGAGCTAGCGCCGATGCGCACCGGTACCATTTCCTCCCAGCACAAACTGGAGCCATCCTGGCGACGGGGACTAAAGGAAAAGACGCTATAGGTGGGTCGTAGCAGGGCTTAAGTCGCGTGACGTCAACTGTTTCGCGGCCTCGGCAGCGATTACCAGGCGATGGGTTGACCGGCTCGACGACGTACTTTGCGGGAGATGTCTGCTTCAGTATGCGGTAAGGACTGTGATACTGTGACAAAAGTTTATTGGAAAGTCCGGGAGTGGCGGACGGGACCCAAAGCGAAACCAGCTCCCAGGGAGTAATGGGCATCAGACGCTGCTGTGTCATGACGGAATTTTTGGCGCGACTGATCTTGTGTGGTATACGAGAGGGCCAGTTGACGGCACTCTTCAGCGTAAGCAGCAGTTTGAGAGATGGGATTGCCCTGAGAAACGTCCGGTTGGTACGGCAGAATGGTGTCCATAGAAGATGAAGGTTCACGTCCATACAGGAGAAAGAAGGGAGAGAAGCAAGTGGTAGTTTGAGACGCAGAGTTGTATGTGTAGCTGACGAAAGGAAGTACGCGGTCCCAGTTTGTGTGGTCTTCCGACATGTACTTCGCCCGCATGTCAGTAAGGGTACGATTTAAACGTTCCGTCATGCCGTTAGTCTGAGGATGGTGTGCGGAAGCGGTACAATGTACAATGCGGCATTCTTTGAGCAAAGCCTCGATTGCATTTGTGAGAAAGACGCGGCCATGGTCACTAAAAATTCACGTGGGGCCCCATGGCGCAGAATGAGATGACGAATTAGGAACCAGGCGACGTCTTTCGCGGTGGCGGCTGGTAGCGCAGATATTTCTGCGTACCGCGTGAAGTGGTCGATGGCGACTATTATCCAGTGGTTGCCGTCAATAGTGATCGTGAGTGGACCGAAGAGATCGACTCCGACGCGGTCGAATGGTCGGGCAGGGCAGGGCAATAGCTGTAAAGGACCAGCGGTGCTGTGAGTAGGAACCTTGCGACGTTGACACGCAGGGCACGACTGAACGTACCGGCGAACGTATCTATACACGCCTCGCCAGTAGCACCTCAGGCAAATACGCGAGTATGTCTTGAGCGAGCCAGCGTGACCGCTCAGAGGGTCGTCGTAGAAGGCACTGCAAATGTCCGCGCACAATTGACGGGGGATCACAAGGAGCCACCTGTGGCCTTCGGTCAGGTAATTGCGACAATACAGCAAGCCTTCACGAAGTGCGAAGTGTTGGACTTGACGACGTAGGGTGCGTGAGGCGGAGTTTGGGGCCCGTTGAGACAAAATGTCAAGCAGTGAAGCAATCGAGGGATCTTTGCGCTGTTCTTCCAGCATGTCGGTGATGGCCAAAGATGAATAACAAGTGGAAGCTGGTGAACCGGCAGTGTTGGAAGGCAGTGGCGATCGAGATAGGGCGTCAGCGTCCGAGTGTTTTCGTCCAGAGCAATGAATCACACGTATATCTTACTCCTGTAATCGTAAAGCCCAGCGAGCCAGGCGTCCAGTCAGGTCTTTCAAGAACGACAGCCAGCATAGCGCGTGGTGATCGGAAACGACATCAAACTGACGCCCATAGAGGTAGGTGCAAAATATATTGATTGCCCAAACAATTGCCAAACACTCCTATTTTGTGACAGAGTAATTTGACTCCACCTTTGTGAGGGTACGACTGGTATATGCCGCAACGTACTCGCCAAAGTCTGGTTTTCGCTAGGCGAGTACCGCGCCAAGGCCGACACCGCTAGCGTGTGTGTGTATTTTTTAGGCACGTTGGGGTCATAGTGGCGCAGAATTGGAGGAGACGTGAGGAGTAGGTGAAGCTTCGTAAATGACTCATCGCAATCGGCACTCCAGGCTGAGAGGGCGTTGCTGCCAGCGAAAAGCTGTGTCAATGGGAATATAATGGAGGCGAAATTGTGAATGAAGCGCCGAAAATATGAACAGAGCCCAATAATGCTTCGGAGTTTCTTTAGAGTGATGGAATTGGGATAATCGAAAACCGCTCGAAGTTTGGCAGGATCTGTCGAAATTTCTTCTTTGGAGACGACGTGGCTTAGGATGATAAGCTGACGGGCACAAAAATGACAGTTCTTCAGGTTTAACTGCAAGCCGGCGTTAGTGAGGCACTCGAGAACTTGTTCAAGGCGAGCGATATGAGAAGGAAAATCTGCAGAAAAAACCACTATGTCATCTAAGCAGCATATACAGGTCTGCCATTTGAGGCCTCTGAGAATGGTGTTCATCATCCTTTCGAAGGTAGCAGGCGCGTTGCAAAGGCTGAAAGGCATTACGTTAACTTCGTATAAACCGTCAGGGGTGACGAACGCTGTTTTCGGATGGTCGGATTCAGCCATGGGCACTTGCCAGTAGCCTGAGTGCAAATCCAGTGATGAGAAATATTCGGCTCCTTGAAGGCAGTCCAGGGCTTCGTCGATGCGGGGTAGGGGATAAACATGCTTCAGCGTAATCATGTTTAGGCGGTGGTAGTCAATGCAAAAATCTTATTGAACCGTCTTTTTTCCGTACAAGCACGACAGGAGAGGCCCAGGGACTGTTCCATTCCTGAATCACGCCACGTTTCGGCATTTCATCGACGTTGTCGCTAATAAGGCGGCGTTCGGCCTGCGATACCCGGAAGGGACGCTGTCACAGGGAAGCATGATCACCGGTGTCAATACAATGAGTCACTGCAGACGTGCGCCCCAATAATGGCTGGCGAACGTTGAAAGAGGCACGAAAGCGTTGAAGCAGTTGAACAACCTTTGTGCGCTGTACTGGCGTAAGCGTGTTACTGATGCTACGCAGGAGGACGTCTCGGACAGGGGAGGTTGTAGCCGTGGCGGAGGTGACGGCACTTATCGTCAACGGTGTCTTTTCACACGTTGCAACCAAAGGGAAGATGGCCTCAAAACTGTATAAATGTTCAACACATTCGCCGCGTAACAGAATTGTCGAGCAAAGAAAGGGATTGCACGCCTAGACCACACCGGCACCATGCACAAGGCTAATGACGGAAAATGGGAGTATGATGTTCCGTCGGCGTCCACGTTCTTCAGACGGTGTAAAAAGGGCGGTCAAATCACAAACTGAGTCAGAGGAAATGGACACCAGGGTGGCAGAGAACGCAGAAATGATAGCGTCAGCAGCGACAACCAATTTAAACACCGGGCTTGGGACGTCAACGACTGTAGTACTCAAAGGGGACAAAGTGAGTCGAGCTCCAGCGCAGCCAACGAGCGCATCATGTGTAGAAAGAAATTCCCAACCGAGGATCACGTCATGGGACGCATCTGGTAGGACAATGAATTCCACAATGTAGAATGAGTCGTTGAGAACAAGACGTGCCGTGCATGCTGCCACAGGCTTAACGTGCTGCGAGCTCGCCGTCCGTAATAAAAGATCAGAAACGGGTGCCGTCACTTTCTGCAGTTTGCGGCACAAAAGTTCACCTAAAACAGAAACGGCAGCTCCTGTGTCCACAAGAGCGTTCCTCGCGACACCATCAATAATAACCACGA